GCGTGCCTCAGAGGTGTCTGCAGAGCACCTGTCCCACGGAGCGGCTCACCCTCGGCCCACCCGCCTCAGTCTTTCCCAGGGGATCCTCAGCATCTCAGCCCCCAAACTCAGTCCCTCAAACCCCTCGCCCTCTCTCACCTTTCACAGTCTACCTAACAGCAATGGACAACAGGTCTTGAGCGCTGTGTGCCTGGCCCTGTATTAAGCGCTTGTGGGTTTTCTGATTGTCCTCCTAAATATTTCTCATGAGTGCATCCGCCTCCTCATACTCACCTGCCGCAACACCATGGACACGGCAGCAGCTTCCTCACGGGCCTCTCTCCCTCCCCTTTCCCCAGGATTCCACCTTCCACACAACACACAAGTCTCACTGCCACTGCCCCATTCGACACCTGCTGTGGCTTCCAACTGCCCTCAGGGTGAGGTCCAAGCTCCCTCAGCCTGGCACTCTGAGCCTCTGCAGCCTGGCCACCCTCATGCTCCCCCCATACACGCCCTACAACCCATCTCCCAGAGAAGGTTGGAGACACAGGTTCCCATGAGGCCCACATTCCCCACCTGGCTTGCCCACAAACTCTGCACTTCTCGGACATTTACTTCTGACTAAAATGCCCTTTCCCCCTCCCCCAGGTGTGAGACCTGAAGCATCCTCGACAGGGCCTTCCAGAGGGGTCATTGTGTGTGGGTGGGTAGGTGGCCTTTCTTTTCACACAGGGGCACCAGTACAAGGAAGGCGTTGCCCTCATCCCCGGGGCCCAGCACGCCCTGGTTGTAGGGGGACAGCAACATCAGAGCAGCCTTCTGCCCCCACTCAAACCTCACCCTGCACTTCCCTAGACAGATTCCTCACTCCTCACATCTTGGTCCACACTGTTTCTCCTGCGCAGAAAGCCCCACCCCCTACCCATCTACACTTACTGAAGACCTTCCCCATCCTCAGGGCCACTTCAGACACTACAGTCCCCACCCCCAGTGACCAAAGTTTTCTATCACACACTTGCAAATAAGTCTGGAGTTGTGCCCCAGGCAGAGGTAGGCCTTCCCCCCACGACAACCCCCAGCTTCTAGCAGGGCCTAGCAGGACCCCAGGCTTCAGCTGGAAGGCTGAATGAATGTCAGCACAGCAGAGCCTGACCTCTGGCTCCTTCACCTCTGTAAGGTTTTGTAGGCTGATAGCAGAGTTCCCTTCTAGACACAAGGGACGTAGACTCAACTTATGACTCCAGGAGAAGTGAGTGGCTTTAATCACAGAATGAGCCAGGGGTGAAGACTGACCTGGGGACAGCAGACCATTGGACAGCAGAGTGAGATGGGCCTGGAGGTGGGGAGGGGGTGGGCAGCTTCAGGGTTTCAGTGTTATCTGTGTACTGTACCTGACTGAAAACCTCCCTCAGACAATTGATGTTATCTGCTCCCAAAGATGAGAAGTGGACATGACCACAGAGGGTGGCCTGGGAAAGGTGAAAGATCTAGGTCAAGCCAGGAACAGTTCTGGATTCTCCTTAGCCTAGGGAGGCCGGGCCAGGCACAGGATTCAGGGCCCTGGGTCTGGGGTCACCGTCTAAGGAGTTCCTCCCACTCTTCCTGGCACCTCCTTGTCACTTTCTGACTCCCCCATCTTCATGACTCAGTGCTAGTATTATCTCCTCCAGGAAGCACTCCAGGATTGGTCCATTCCTGTTTTAAGACCTCACAGCTGGGAACAGAACTGTCATTTCATTTCTCTCACCCAGACTGGAACTGCCGGAGCCTGCTCTCACACCCTTCCCATAACTTAGCCAAGTTGTAAGCTAAGTGATTTCATTGCAAGCCTGCTCCATGTTGCTCTCTGCTGTCTATCTGCTTGAAGAGTGCCTAGCCTCAGAAGGGGAGTTGATAAATGTCATCTGGATTGACATTTCTAAGAAAGGTGCTGAAGTGATGGCTGGTCGTTTGAGTCCACAGGAGACAAACAAGCAGGAGCCCAGTGATGCCAGGGTGAGTAACCCAAGCCAGGGGGTATATTCTAGAGCTGGGAGGCAGGACAGGGGCCTAGCAGGAGCCCCATTTCTATTAATACTTGCTTGTAACCCTGGACAGTCACTGCCCCTCTCTGGGCCTCAGTCACCTCTTCCATACTGGGAGGGGGTGGACCAGAGTCTAAGCATTTTCTTCAGGCATTCTTGGTGATGGGAGATCACAGCCATAAATCATAAAAGGCTTGAGACTCTCTCTCTATACTCCATGTGTCACTGAAAGTAATGTCTAAACTGTAAAATAAGGAAAGGTTCAACCAAGTTCTGACATTTCTGTGATGACTACTTCTATGTTTTTGAAATATTATATACTGAAATATATGCTTCGCTGGTACTCTGCCTCTTGGTGATCTAGCCCCATGGTGGATGCTAACCCTGAGTCTCCTTCCAGCATGGACTCAGCACTCAGTCTGGTGCTTACCTGCTGACTCTGGCCCATCCTTCATGAACTCAGTCCCTCAGGAGCCATGAAACTACTTCTACCTGATGTCCATCTCATTCTTGTCAAGCTTCTGACCAGAGCAGGAGATCTCAGAAAGCCTGCCCAGATCACCAAGCAGGACCGCCCTGACCTCAGGGTGACCTGAGCAGTCTCCAGGGGCTGGTTGACCATGCTCAAACCCATCCCTGGAGACTTGTGGGCAGGTGCAGGCTCAGGGCTTGGCTTGTCCAAGTGGCTTCCATGCGAGGTCAGAATGGGACCCCCAGGGAAGTGAGAAAAAAAAGTGTTCCTCTCTCCTCATACACGCAGATTCTTATACTGGAACCAACATCAGGAACAGGAAGCGGGCTCCCCGAATGCCTTCACCCTCTACCACACAAACACTCCCACAGTCCCTTGTCAACGCTTACATTCTCACAGGGTCCTCACCTTCGTCAGCTGAACCCCTGGTCTAGAGAAGGGTGCTCTGCTCGGGGAAAGGGATGGGCATTGTCAGCCTCCACTCTGAGACTAAATTCGGCACAAACCTAACCTGCCCAGAGTGGGTGCCGTGGGGAGAGGGCTCAGGGTGAGGAAGGGAGGCTGGCTGGAGAAGAAACAGGGTGGGAGAGCTTTGGAGTCCAAAGCCACAGGATGTCAGCACTGTCCACAGAGCCTCAGAGGCCCTTCTGAGGAAGCCTGGGGATCTGACCCACCCAGCAAGAGCATCTCCCTGAGGATATTCCCGCATTTTCTATGCCCTATCAGACAGACAGGCAGGCAGACAGACAAGGCTGCGCTGATGGCATGGCAGCCCCTCAGGGCAGAGGGGAGGCTAACTTACTGGTCACGCAGAGCAGAGTGTGGAAGAGCCACATCCTAGCTGGAGCAGAGGCAGCGACTTGGGCCCCCGGCCTGCTCAGCTTCCCTTCTCAGCTGGGGCGCCAGGAGGCGGGGACAGAAGCACATACATAGGCCAGGACCCACAAACAGACAGGCACTTTCAAGAAGACACAGACGCTCCCACTTGTACACAGCTGGCTGCGTGGCTTCCTTAGCAGTTGCAGGCTGGGTCCTGGGAGCTTGGAGACACCTGTCAGCCCTGTCCATCATCCACACTTTTGTGGAACTGTGAGCTAAGGTGTGGACTAGGAACACAACTCTGGGTGTCCTTGGGGTGAGGTGGAGGACCAGTATTAATCTGACGTTTATTATCCATTTGAGTCCCAGTCCCCTGCCCCAGAGCCCACCACCAGACACCTCAGCCCATTACCCAGTTGTCTCGGCAGTGAGAATGGGTCTCCCTTCTTACAGAAAATGCTCCACAGCCAGAAACTGGGCTGCTGCACCAGGCCCCACACTCGGCCCTACACTCAAGGCTTTGAGGCAGTGGAGGGCCAGGTGGATTGAAAGATCCAGAGCATTCACTGAAATCACTTTCTCAGTTTGGCTTTGGCTGCATTCTCTTTAAAACCCGGCTACAGCGCCATGATGCCAGAACTAATTTAACAGAGCTCTGAGCTACCAGAACAATTGAAAAGGAAAAATTCCATAAATCTTTCAGCGTATCTCTGATCTTGATACCTCTGTAGACTGCCAAGTCTATAGCCATATTTAAATGCTTACTTCACGATTTGTCAAACTTTCCCTGTGTGACCAAGTCTGTCGCAGAAGGACGTTTCTCTCATACCCCTGCATCCCAGATTGTTGAGGTACAGAGCGGAGCTCACAGGACTCTGCAATCATGTTCTAGATCTACACTGCCCAACATGGTATGGTAGCCACGAACCACAGGTGGCACTGAGCCCTTCAAATGTCATCAGTGCAACTGAAGAACTGAATTTTAAATTTTATTTAACTTTAATTTACATTTAAAAAGGCAGAGGACTCTGTCTCTCACAGGAATGTCTTCATCTCCAAGGAGAGCACTTTGAAGTGTTAATGTAAGTGTTAAAACACAGTGGACAATGGTATTGACTTAATGACTAGATGAAAATCAACTTTATTTTTTCACATGAAAAGTCTGCTTGACCAGAGTTTTGTAAAGATGACTTAAAACATTTTTGCATTGTCTACTTTGATCTAACAAAATACTTACAACTAGTAAGAGAGTGCCCTGACATTACACGGGTGTTTGAATAGACTACAATTCATCATTTTTCACACTGTACACCATCCAACAGAGAAGTTAAACAACTTGAAAAAGTGAAGCTCCAGGTCTGATGATTTGCCTCTCAGATCACGATGACATGTCGGCTTACCGTTGTCATAGGCTAGAGTCCTGGACTATCTTCTCCTTACTCCAGGGCTCAGTGACTCTCCTCTTCCCCACACCCATTCAGTGTGTCAGGGGCACTTGGGGGAGCCACAGGGTCTCTTCTCCCCAACCACTGTCCCAGAGGGATGAGAGTAGCTGCAAGCCACAGAGCAGATCAGCAGGACAGGCCAGAACTCAGTACTATTGCTCCCTCAAGATTTTTGAGAGAAGCAGGACTTCGTGTTTGGAGTGTGAACTTCAGGATACCTCAGGAGGCCAGGCAAAGTTGATGAGTGGATGCTGGACTGGGCGCATGGCCATTTTTTGCATCTTTGGAGATGTCTACAATGAGGACACATCCTGCATCCATCTAAGATGTATTTATCCAAGCTTGTTGATGACAGCATGGCAGACTCCTAATCTTGAGCACATATGGGGGCCATTCAAGCCCATCTGACAGTAACTGCTGTCCCCACAAACCCAAACTTAGGGTCCCAAGGGCCAGGCTGTACTATGCACAAGGTTGGGGTGTTCAGCAAATACATACACATCCAAAAGGAATATGAAAATGACTTCCAAACTTTTTACTTTAAACAAATGTTAAAGGACTCAAGGAATATTCTACAACATAACCAGACTGAATTCTTCAAAAACATTAATATCATAAAAGACAAAGAAAGGTTAAAGAATTGTTCCAGATTAAAGGAGACTGAATGTAGTGCATGATCCTGGATTGGATCCTAGACCAGGAAAAAAAAAAGTGCTTTAAAAAACATTATTGGTTCAGCAAAATATAATACCATTCCTGGGAATGGTAACCAGAAATTTAAGTGTCTGGTTATGGCCAGAAAGATAAGAGGTGAATGGTATGATTGTGCAGAGTTAAATGGAGGGCATCAACTCCAGTTGGTATTTATTTTCGTTAAAAAGAGGAGGAAAAATAAATTCATAAGGTTAAGGTATTATAAACTTTAATTTGGGAAAGAAACCTACATTATTAGGACAGTTGGCAAAACTGAAACATGAACTACAGGTTAGATACTACAGTACTAATTATATAATATATAATTATATAACATATAAAATATTATATAAAATATTATACATTTCCTGAATTTGATAACTATGCGAGAATGTCCTTGATCTTAAGAAATGTATATTAAAATATTTAGTAGGTAAGGGACATGACATATGCAAGTAATTCTCAAATAGTTCATGGTTCAGAGAGGGAGGGAAAGGAGGAAGGAGGGAAAGGAGAAAGGAAAGAATAAAATGTAGCAAAATGTTCTTTATTCTACCATTGAAATCGTTCTGTAATTTAAAAATAGAAGGTTTTAAGTTACAGGATGGAAGACTTACAGTTCACTATGAAGTAAAAAGACTAAATGCTTTGTCTTGAATGAGTCAAAAGCATTCATTAGTGGATAGGTGTGTGTGGGCGGGGCGGGGGGTGGGGCACGGGAGCTGCTCCCACAGCCCAGCCTCATAGCCTCCAGACCAGGAAATGTTTCTACTTACTCACTTGCCTTTCCAGTCCTAGGAAACTGGAAAGAGGGAATTTCGAAGAATGTGGATGTTACTGATACTATATAGAGAATAGAGAGGACAGAGTTGGCAATGGGGAGTGGGGAAAGACTGAAGAGCTGTAGTAATCACTAACACTGAGCGTGCACTCAGGAGGGAGTGAGTGCCAGACTCAGTGCAAAGGGCTTTCCATGCAAACCCTCATCTGATCCACACAGCCATTCTACTGGGTTATCCCTATTTCATGGACATGGAAGTTGGCTCAGAGAGAGTGGTTAAGTAATTTGTCCAAGGCCATATGGCTAGTTAGTGGCAGAGCTGGAACTCAAATAGGTCTCATCCAGAACCAGGTCTCTGAACCACTACAAACCCTAGTGCCTTCAGACCCATGGATCTAAATCTCTCCCAGTTCATGAGCTATTAAAAAGCAGGGACCTCATTCCACAAACCTATACTAGGAAACTTGCATTACTGGGAGCTGTGGACTGAACTGTGTGCCCTCTCCGCCCCCTAATTAATATGTTAAAGCCACAATCCCCAATTTGACTATATTTGGAGATAGGGCCTTTAGGGAATAATTAAAGGTCATAAAAGTAGGGCCCTCACCCAAGAGGCTTGATAATCTTAGCAGAGGAAGAGATCCCTCTTTCTATGTACATGCACCAAGGAAAGGCCACATGAAGACACGGTGAGAAGATGGCTATTTACAAGCCAGGGAGAGAGGCCTCAGCAGAACCCTATTATGCTGACATCCTGATCTTGGACTTTCAGCCTCCAGACTGAGAGAAAATAAATTTCTGTTGTTCAAGTCACCCAGTCAAATGGTAACCCAAGCTAGCTAACACACTGGGCTACCTCTTAAAAAAGCTTCCAAATAAAACAATGAATGGGGGGTGGGGAGGGAAGGGGTGTGTGTGTGTGTGTGTGTGTCTTGTAGAAGGAGAGCTTAGTGGGGAGGGAGCTAAAGAGAGGATCATCTTATCCTTTCATAACTGAGAGGCTGGGGGAGGTGTCACACTTGTCATGGAACCAAGGGTCTGAGGGCGTAGGCCTCTTGCTTGCCCCCTCTCCCTTCCTAGGTTCAGCTTAGTGCTGATGCTCTGTGGTAGAGTACAGCAAAGATCCTAGAAATCACATTAGCACTAAAAAGAAACTGGAGATCATTCCAGTCGAGCCCTTCATTTGACAGGGAAATTGAGTTCCAGAGAGGTGAAGGGACTTGCTCAGTCTTTTTCTGTTTGTATGTGAGAAAGAGTGAATTCCCAGGGCTCCCATCCCGACAACCATTCTGTCTGAGCCTTCCCAAAAGACACTCTACCTGAGCTAAAAGTGTTGTTTCCTGCTTACAGGCCTGCTGAGGAACCCTTACCAATGACAAGAAGGGACGCATCACAGGATTAAAAACACAACAATCCCAGCCAGGAAGGGATAGAAAAGCCATGCTTCCTCTCCTGCCAATTGTGTGGGTCTTGCCCTATACTGTCCGGGGATGAGGGTGACAATCTGAGGTAACACAAGTCTTTACCACCAAAGAATTCCAGGGCCTCTAGAATTACTCAAACAAAAACAAATAAGAACTCCAGGGCAGATTACTGACTTTGGTAGGTTAAATACTACCCATACTCTAGAGTTTTACTTATAACCCAGCAAAATCCCACTTCAGTGCCTCATAACTATTTGAAATAGGCTTTTGAACCAGCATTTCCCTAATTGCTCCAAGGAACATCAGAGTTCTGTGAAATGTTCATAAATTTCATTTTTTAAAAAAAGCTACAGTATTTCCTCCTAAGATTTATTTTATAAACACGTAAGGAAAATTCTACGTTATTGGTGGTCAGATTACACAGTAACAATCTGCCCTGAGCAGGTGTGCTACTTTCAGGATTATAAAAAAAAAAATTCTGTCCTTGTAGTTCTTAAAAAAGTGGCTTAATTTCTAATTTATTTCTTATTATATAAGGTTTAAAAGCAAATAAGTATACATCAAACTTATTTTTGCAGTAATTAATTAAGCTGCGAAGCCATGATTTGCTGATAACTTTAAATTGCCTGTTAGCATTTCGTCTTAACTTTAAGAAGGCTCCATGTGAGTTGGAATTCTGCTTTAGGCAAAAGAGCTGCTGCCAGAAAAAGAGTTGTTTCTTTTCTCCTTTTTTGGACT